TGAGAGTGAACCATTGAGAACGAGGACTTCCCACGTCTACATATGAGAACCATTTAGGACGAGCCGATTGATTAGATAAATCCAACACTACATATGAGAGAAAGAGGACCATTCAGATTATCACGAAGTAGACAAAAACTCCATGAAAAAGTTTTGTAAGTTGTGAAAATTAAGTAATTTAGGACCGTTATACAGTGTGTTTCATTGTAAAGTCGATCCCTCACAGCCTCGTTTCCATCCAGGTTAAATTCAGTATGGCGTCTAACCTGATTAAGATCTATTACCAAAAAATAAAAAAATAAAGTTTCAGTATCATTTAAAAACAAAAGAAGACTTTGTACTTACCTTTTCACAGCACCACATGTTTTATGCTCAATACAGTTAGATAAGAACCACAGGCAAACAGACTTCATATTTAAATTTAAAATTTTATTTGTAAAATTGAAAAAAAGAGAGAGAAAGAGAGAAGCCCATTAAGCGTTTCTTTTCGATGCATACATTTCTCTAAACATAACCAATAAATAGGCGATTCATAAACAGATTTTTGTCAGGAATAAATAAATAAATAAATAAATAAATAAATAAACATGTTCATAAATTAATCGGCAAATCAATAGATGAGTAGGCATAACCGTAAAACAATGTAAGCAGCAAATATTTGAGAAATGTCAACAGGATGCTTGTCCATTTCAGTTGTTCATGCCACACCAATCGCATCGCAGAGATAGATGGTGCACCTCTTGTCCTCTTTTCTCAGAAAATATCAAAAAGAAAACAACGAAAATTAACAAGAAAACCAAAAACAACTGTAAACAGCATTGTCTCATCCAGGCTTTAAGAACAGCGCAGGGAGTGCCTGGCTCTCCCACTGCACATTTCACACAGCAAAATCAATACTCTTGATATATATTTCCTTACGCTTTGTGCTGAGAAAACCAGAACTTTAACATGATCTTTATAAAGCAAAAAAACCCGCCCCACCCCGAAACCCACCCGCCCACTGACTACTTTCCCCATAGAATCTGAGAAATGTGCTGCTGTTCCCTAATATACAGATTTCATATCTATAATAAGCTACTTTCCTTAGCATACAAACCATAGTTAAAGAATCATATTGTTAATATGAGTAGTACCTTTATAACACTTTAACCCCCCAAAGCTTTCCCACCCTTTCCCCCCTTGAGCATGCTCACAGATCAAAGTTCGGCATGAAGATCTGAGGAACGAACCCTCCCCCCATTTCTGGTGCAAACGCAATTTGTATTAACGCCGTCGGTTCACCTTTCAACACATCAAGCTTAATTTTATATGCCTTTCCAATCATTTTTTTTTTCTTTCAAGCTGTAATGATATCATCCTTCAAACTTATTAAACTTCAGGCACTAGTTGCCATTTTTAATTTGTATTACACTTGCTTTTACATACAGGCCAAATTTAATTTGATTTTAATAATTCACATCTGGCATGGAGAGATTCTGTGAGGAAGGTCCCTGCAACATGAGGTTATTAGAGCGCCGATGCCCGAGGGCTGCGTGTCTGTATATCACCACGTTCTGATATGCCACCACAGGACAGGAGAGAGACGATGAAATGGAGAGAGTTCAGCAGAAAAAGGCCATTATAACCTGTGAATCGAATGTGATCCATTTCGGCGCGCCCTGAGGCTAAAAAAACAACTGTGATATACGGGCGACGTTAATGTTTTCCGGCAAAACTTATTTCTGACGTCTGCCAGATTAAACATTTAACATACAGATATATTTTTAGGTAAGACAAACAGGTCCAAAATCCACAGTGGAAATCAAATGAGGTCAAAACATGTGCTTTTCTGTCCTACCTAGATTCTAGAGCTCTGTTTCTGCATCTATTTATGTTTATTTGTGAATTCTGGAGGACCTGAACTTCCTGTACTTCTATATTATGTGTAGTTTTTGGCATATCTATGAAGGCAGTGCGGAATTGGCGAGTTGGCAAAAGTAGCGTAACGGAAATGTAGATCGAACGTAAAAATGTACAAAAAAGGCAAACAAAAACTTTAAATGCAGAGGAAAGCAACTTGTTTCAAGAATACTGTCCATTTAACAGTTAAAGACCCTGCGAAATCATTTGACGAGTTTAGTGTTGATGCATTTCCTTTTGAAACAGGAAGTTGGTGCGTGGCAACTTATTTTAAATAACCAATAGCCTTTATTTTTACAATACAGCCTACTCTTAGAAAGTATTGTGTCTAGTTTTCCATTTAAAATATCTAAAAATAAATCTTTGACGAGACATAATACACATATAGATACATACAAATAAAGATAAAATTTATGAAAACTTAATCTATATATTTTTTAGATATTTTTAACTGGAAGACAAGTAAAAAAAGACCAAGCATTTTGCCGTGTAGTTACTTGCAGGTACAGTAGTATTAGTAAAAGGGACTTTCTAACTCCAGAGCATCTGATTGGACAAAAATTGGTAGCGCATGATAAGTATTTTTGGTCCGTTTTTGCAAGTAACGAAAAATGAAAAACTACAAATCAAATGCTCTTAACACTAGAGTACACTAGAACTGGCATCAAAGCTAACAAACGTCCACCAACTCTGACTTCATTCTAGAGCTTTTGATTGGACAAAAATTTGTAGTCATTAATATTTAGGACAGTTTTACCAGAAGACTGTAAATTTCACATTTTTGTGTTGGTTTTGTCAGCTAGCATTAGCCTCAGAGCTAACACACAAACTAGCCACCAATTTTGATTTCATGGGGTCTTTAAGATTCTCGTCAAGCGCTTTAGAGTTGTGTATATTTGCGACTTGTCTGAGAGCAAAGCAACAGCTGCGGTTACGTACACCATAATGTCAGACTCTGTGGCTTTTTTTTATTGATGGATCAGTTTGCTCCAACTGTAACCCCCATGGCTGCTATCTGCAAGCTGTTCGTGAGCTCTTTACAGGCTGCTCATTAGACCTTTGCAGACAGTTAGCGTCAAGCTAATCCATACCAGCCCGAGAAGCGTATTTTTAGAAATATGGGTTATTTGCAGATCCAACGAGTCGTCCCCCGGCGTTTTCTATATCTTAAACTCATTTATTAGCAAAATTAACGTTAATGTGGAATTGATTGTGCAGGTTTCCGAGGCTAAATTAGATTTTTTTTTTGATGCTGCAAGAGGGTCCCTGTAAAATTCTGATGTGCTTCAGAAGTTGTAAGCAATAACAAGTTTGTCCCTTCGGAAGGTCCGTTACGAACCTCATTTTTTGGGCTGTGTAAGGGTTTAAGGCTTGGTATCTTTGTAACTGCTTGGTGTACTTACCAATGTGCTTTATCAGTTGATATTCAGCATTTGGCACAACTGTTTGATGAGTATGTTCTTGAAAGATGCATAAAATGGATGGTATGAAAGGTCTACTGGTTCTTGTAATAGTAAAGTTAAGTGTTACTTCACGAAGCACGATCGTAGACCTGATGAAACAAACTAGAACCGCTTCAGTTGAAAAATCACTAAAGCAGTGCACAAATAAATAAATAAATCCCATCCCTGTCAAGCGTTAACTGTATTTTTTGTATTATTTACCTGTGAATTGGTATAGCTGTTATATTGCGGATAGTTTGCGTTGAAGCCACAGGTACTTATTCTGCTTGATAAGTAAAGCTTTCATCGGATAAATATGTTTGTTTGTGTGTACTGAATAACTGCCAAAGGTTTCACTAAACCAGCAACACTTCGCACATGCATATATAGTTATACTCAGCATTTGTTCTCTGGAATGTGGGCCTATTTTTGACATCTGAGCAAAAAAAAAAAGATGATGGATGATGGACAGCTTCCCCCCTTGTTTTTTTTCTTCATGGATGAAAATGGCTGAACATGCTCCTAACAATCTCCAATCCACATATTCTACTCCACTAAAATAGTATAGCTTTTAAAATACTTTTTTCTTCGTTTTTTTTGTATTTTGTTTAAATATTCTGAAACCCAGTAGCTATAAATGTAAAAGGAAAAGAAATCAAAATCCCTTTCCTCTTCCGACCTGAAGCGAATATTTATGCTTTTTTTTTTCTTTAAACTTATGTTGTTAGTAGTAGTTTGTAGTATTAGTATTGTTATTAATACCATATATTTCTGTTGAGGAATAAAAATGTTTGGTCCTTTGGTCCCTTTGGGGTGAAAGATTTGTCAGTTTCACTGAGGGCATGGAAACCTCTGTGACCACAGAATGTCCTGCGTTTGCTGAAAGACGGTGACAGAAGAAAAGGTAAGAGGAAAAGAGAAAGAAAGTCCACTAGCGGGACAAGAAGAGCTTCTTTTTTTTCCACTGCATTTTTCCTTGGTCTTTAAGTTTAACCCTCATTTGTCCAGTGTAATAAAATCCACAAGCGCCTCTTCCTTTAAATAGCATATGTGTGTATAATATGTATATAGAAATTGAAGTTGTTCTCACTCGATTTTTTTTCGTTTTTTTTCTTTTTGTTTGTTGCTTGACTGACGGTGCGAAGCTCAGCGAATATAACAATATATATATATATATATATATTGTTATTATTAATAAAAATAACAGTAAGAATGACAAATAGTGCACTTAAATGCATTTTTATGAATATTAAATATATTGAATATTTAATTTCTATTAAATATATTTAATAATAACAATAATAATACATGTAAATGTATTTCTATGAATACTAAATATATTGAATATTTAATAAATGAAAGAAACAAGTCTCAAGTTTGTAAAATCATTTAGATTTACAGGTTAATTGTCTTGTGTCTTCCTGTTAAAAATCGTGTCTGTTGTCCAAAAGTGGGTTGAGTTCTCTGTCTTTAGAGAGATCTTCCACTTGTCTTTCGTGCACTGTGCCGAGTGTGGTTTGTCCACGGGTGCCGGTTCACCTGCAACCTCTCCTCTGTACCGAACATCTTCAAAAAATAAATGCTGATATGTCTTCAAAAAAATCCATTCATGTTGTTCTTGGTTGTTTTGAAAGAAAAAGTTAAATTCCTTTTGAGATTTCACTCTTCAAATCCTGTAAAAGAAGATTAAACTACAAATAATATCTAATATAAGATATTTACAATAAAATTATATACTATAAATTAATATAAAACAATTATTATAATTGTATTTTATATATTGAAGTACTATAATACATACTAAATGGCACTTTCAACCTCTTCATGCCGATCTGAAAGCCGTTCATGGCCTGGATAGCAGCCTGTGCACTTGCTGGGTTGTCGAAGCTCACGAAGCCTGCAAGAGATCACGAGAACAGACGTGAACCAAGTCGTTCGGGTACTAAAATTGATTACATGGCATCATATTAAACCACCGTTCAAGTTTCCAACAAGTCAAAAATGGCTCTTTTATGAACCTATTTCCACTTCGATCTCTGAAAAATCACCATATATGCATCTGTGTGGGCTACTTTTGAGCATATATAAGCCTCTGGTGGTATAGAACAGGGACAAATCACCCCACAGGACTCCGAAACGGGGCCACCCGCAGCATGCAAACCACATTCGTCCGTGACGACCCCAGCTTCCCATTCAAACCCATAGGCTTTTAAAAGCCAGTGACCAAAAGGCCAAAATGAATTGAGGATGCACTTTCGGTGGCATTGCGAGTGTCATCAGGAACCGGCAGTGAACCGTGAAAAACAGCGGGCGCTTTCATCGGCCATCAACCACCTGGGAGCAGAGTGGCCTAGGCGCCTAACCGTGCCTGGAACTGCCCCCATTTCAAGGCTTGTATCTACAAGACGAGAGGGTCCGCATGGAGGTGACGTGGGGGATAAAGCCACAAAGCTGCTTAATAGGGAATCTATGTATGTCAGTGCTCTCAGCCAAGTCCCATCGGTCCATCTCGGGCCGCGGCCCCCACCGCAGGTTAATTACTCTACCGAGCGCCTGTTACCCAGACCTGACATTATGCAGTAAATGCATAGTGTATAAGTCAATACCGCAAATAGGTCCTACTTCACAAATTTATATCTTATTAACCTCCCCCAGGAGACGGGAGCTGCTATTAATTGAGGCTTGGGAAATGTCTCCCTCTGGAGCGAGAACAGATGTTGATCCATAATGGGCCTTTTTGCTTCACTTAGGACTTTTTTTCTGGCTCGGGTTTTTAAAAGGCAGCGCTCCGGTTTGTGGCTTGACACAGAATACAGAATACAGAATGGAGTTTACATTGTGAAACGGACAGGGACTGATTGTAGGTTGTTTTGGGATGGACTGTAATTCACTTACGCAATACTTGTTCTACAGTTATTCACATTTAGCATGTTGTAATCAAATATTTTTACTGTTTTTTGTTCATTTTTGTGACTTTTTACTGATATTTAAGTTTAACATTGATGCTGGAATTAGGCTAGGCAGATTAATCGGCTGATATTTAGCTATTTTGAGATCATTGTCATCTAGTACTATTACCAAAACGTAGAAATGAATATGCATGCTGATTTTGTCTCACCAAAACATTTGCTCTGGTTGGTGGCTCTGTCCATGAAGACCTTGGAGGAGATGACTGTGCCAAACGGAAGGAACATCTGCATGAGCTCGTTGTCGCCAAATTCCTGCGGTAGATGGTAGATGAAGAGGTTGCAGCCCTCTGGTCCTGCAACACAAATACGTTGTTACTCAATGTGGAGTCTCACAGAGACAACTTTATATATATATATAATATAATATAATTATATTTAAATAATATTTTTAATTTCAGGCCTTTGTGCCCCTTTGTTTCAGAATGTAATGTTGTTACATGTACTTTTTATCATAATGCTAACACGTGCTTAAAAAATGGCCAATTTTTTTGTTTTAAATACTAAATACTTGTTTATTTATAGCAAATATTTTATCAATTAATAAGAGTGACAGGGATAGTTCACCCAAAAATGAAAAATTACTCATCCTCAGGCAGTCCAAGATGTAGATGCGTTTGTTTAATAAACAGATTTGGAGATTTGCTCACCAATGAATCCTCTGCAGTGAATGGGTGCCGTCAGAATGAGAGCCCGAACAGCTGATAAAAACATCACAATAATCCACACGACTCCAGTCCATCAATTAACGACTTGTGAAATGAAAAGAGGTGTATTTGTAAGAAAAAAAAATCCATCAAGAAATTTTAACTTTAAACCATCACTTCTGGTCAAAATACGAGTCCATAATCCATAATAACGATTCCTCCAGTGGAAATGTCCATCCCTTGTTGTCCTCTTAATAGGGAATCTATGTATGTCAGTGCTCTCAGCCAAGTCCCACCGGTCCATCTCGGGCCTCGGCCCCCACCGCAGATTAATTACTCTACCGAGCGCCTGTTACCCAGACCTGACATTATGCAGTAAATGCATAGTGTATAAGTCAATACCGCAAATAGGTCCTACTTCACAAATTTATATCTTATTAACCTCCCCCAGGAGACGGGAGCTGCTATTAATTGAGGCTTGGGAAATGTCTCCCTCTGGAGCGAGAACAGATGTTGATCCATAATGGGCCTTTTTGCTTCACTTAGGACTTTTTTTCTGGCTCGGGTTTTTAAAAGGCAGCGCTCCGGTTTGTGGCTTGACACAGAATACAGAATACAGAATGGAGTTTACATTGTGAAACGGACAGGGACTGATTGTAGGTTGTTTTGGGATGGACTGTAATTCACTTACGCAATACTTGTTCTACAGTTATTCACATTTAGCATGTTGTAATCAAATATTTTTACTGTTTTTTGTTCATTTTTGTGACTTTTTACTGATATTTAAGTTTAACATTGATGCTGGAATTAGGCTAGGCAGATTAATCGGCTGATATTTAGCCGTTTTGAGATCATTGGCATCTATTACTGAAACGTGTTGATTTGTCTCACCGAAACATTTGCTCTGGTTAGTGGCTCTGTCCATGAAGACCTTGGAGGAGATGACTGTACCAAATGGGAGGAACATCTGCATGAGTTCGTTGTCGCCAAATTCCTGCGGTAGATGGTAGATGAAGAGGTTGCAGCCCTCTGGTCCTGCAACACAAATACGTTGTTACTCAATGTGGAGTCTCACAGAGACAACTTTATATATATATATAATATAATATAATTATATTTAAATAATATTTTTAATTTCAGGCCTTTGTGCCCCTTTGTTTCAGAATGTAATGTTGTTACATGTACTTTTTATCATAATGCTAACACGTGCTTAAAAAATGGCCAATTTTTTTGTTTTAAATACTAAATACTTGTTTATTTATAGCAAATATTTTATCAATTAATAAGAGTGACAGGGATAGTTCACCCAAAAATGAAAAATTACTCATCCTCAGGCAGTCCAAGATGTAGATGCGTTTGTTTAATAAACAGATTTGGAGATTTGCTCACCAATGGATCCTCTGCAGTGAATGGGTGCCGTCAGAATGAGAGCCCGAACAGCTGATAAAAACATCACAATAATCCACACGACTCCAGTCCATCAATTAACGACTTGTGAAATGAAAAGAGGTGTATTTGTAAGAAAAAAAAATCCATCAAGAAATTTTAACTTTAAACCATCACTTCTGGTCAAAATACGAGTCCATAATCCATAATAACGATTCCTCCAGTGGAAATGTCCATCCCTTGTTGTCCTCTCGCGTCAAAATCCAATTGTTTAGAACTGTTCCGAATTGTTTTTGCTTGTAAACAGTGCTTGGTCTGTGGATATTTCTCTCATGATTCAGACAAGATGACATTTTCACTGGAGAAAGCAATATTATGGATAGAGGACTCTTATTTGAACCGGATGCAAGATTTATGTTATAATGCCTTGATGGATTTATTTCTTACACTTCTTACACTTTTCAATTTATGATACGTTAACTGATGGACTGGAGTCGTGTGGATTACTTGTGGATTATTGTGATGTTTTATCAGCTGTTTGGACTCTCATTCTGACGGCACCCATTCACTGCAGAGGATCCATTGGTGAGCAAGTGATGTAATGCTACATTTCTCCAAATCTGTTCTGATGACGAAACAAACTAATCCACATCTTGGATGGCCTGAGGGTGCATATATCAGCAAATTTTCATTTTTGGCTGAACTATTCCTTTAATGGAAGATGCTTTCTGCAATTATTTCAGCATAATGAACTATTCACTCATCATCATGCATGTAGTATTGATCCTTATGCCAAAACAAATGAAAAATCTCTCACCCTCACCTTCTCTCTGCTGCTGCTGTTGAATGACTTGCGGTGGCTGTGGCAAGCTTTGGCCAATAGGGGTCAGTGTGGTCGCTGGGTAGATGGCTGTACGTGCAAAGAGAAATTTGTGTGATAACACAGCCTGGATTTATGTGATAAAGCATTGAACAAGGCTACTCAAAAGAAAAAAAGACAAACTGACACATGGTTGGTCAAAAACAACCATCCATTTTTAAGTAAGCAGCACAAAAATAGAATATATATATATATATTTTAGGAGGCAGATTGAGGTAGTGAACCTGTATATTGCTGCACCCCGGTGAAGGCCTGTTGTGGGGTGTCTGCAGCCGTGGGGCTTTGGGTGGAATAAGAGGGCAGTCCGTTGGTGTACATGGCCTCGACCGCAGGGTGTCCGTTGGGCTGGTGAGGGATGCTGGTAAAGCCGTTGACGATAGGAGTGACAATGCTGGGGACGGCTGATGTGGTGATGTTGGCAGGCGGTGAGCTGAGGCCTGCTGAGTCAGGAAAACAAACACAGACAGCACAGTACATTGGTACAGTTTACAAACAAAGTGTGCAAAAAGTCTGCAATTTCATATTAAAGCATTGAAAATGTACATGTTTTCATTTAAAGAGAACGCTGTTGGAAATTAGCTAAAAGAGAATGATGTCGATTACCACAAAAAATCATCAAAAACTCATACCACATTGATAGCATTGAAATAAAATACATACATACATACATACATAAAACATATCTATCTATCTATCTATCTGTCTGTCTGTCTGTCTGTCTATCTATCTATCTATCTATCTATCTATCTATCTGGTAATCAACATCCTTCTCTTTTAGCTAGTTAGCTTTGATGCTAATGCTATTATACCACTATATTAAATTGACTTCTAACACACACACACACACATATATATATATATTGTTTCCGACCGCAGGGTGTCCGTTGGGCTGGTGAGGGATGCTGGTAAAGCCGTTGACGATAGGAGTGACAATGCTGGGGACGGCTGATGTGGTGATGTTGGCAGGCGGTGAGCTGAGGCCTGCTGAGTCAGGAAAACAAACACAGACAGCACAGTACATTGGTACAGTTTACAAACAAAGTGTGCAAAAAGTCTGCAATTTCATATTAAAGCATTGAAAATGTACATGTTTTCATTTAAAGAGAACGCTGTTGGAAATTAGCTAAAAGAGAATGATGTCGATTACCACAAAAAATCATCAAAAACTCATACCACATTGATAGCATTGAAATAAAATACATACATACATACATACATAAAACATATCTATCTATCTATCTATCTGTCTGTCTGTCTGTCTGTCTATCTATCTATCTATCTATCTATCTATCTATCTATCTATCTGGTAATCAACATCCTTCTCTTTTAGCTAGTTAGCTTTGATGCTAATGCTATTATACCACTATATTAAATTGACTTCTAACACACACACACACACATATATATATATATATATTGTTTCATTATTATTTAATCATTATTTTTAGTTTAATTTCTATGAACCTTGAATCTTACTATATTGTTAATATAATTGATGTACTATATTATTTAATAAGTTTAGTTTAATTATTTATTAATACATTATTACATATTCATTAATATAGTTTCATTATTTATATATTATAGTTAAGATACATAACTATTTATATCATATTTATAAAGTTTTATTAATAAAATTATAATAACTCATTAACAACTGAGATAGATAGATAGATAGATAGATAGATGTTTATATATAGATAAATGCATATGAACTGCTGATCTGTCAGTCATTCCAAATCCTTTGTTAGTGACTAAAAAGTGGTTACAAAAATGTGGTTTCAACTAGAAAAATGTTTTGTGAACATCTGCAAGTGAATCGTTTAATAGGCCCTTTTTAGCAGAAGTCGGTGTTTGATCCCAAGCCTAGAGCGTTTCTGAGCTGCGGCTGTGCATCGGTACAAACTAGAAAACAGTTCCCATAGGATACCTTTTCAATCTGTACCCGCAAACAATGCTGGACATAGAGGATGGTCGTCATGGAAACCCCCAGCATGCCTCAATTACAATGTGGCAAAAGACTATATAGAAAAGTCTTTATAGAATCATGACTGAGCCGATGGATTCAAACAGGCTGCAGTGTTGTCTGCCCAGCCAGCTTCACTTACAGCATGACGGAGTGCGAACCAGGCTCGTATTGAACGTAAAGGTTCCCAAAACTGTACTCAAGTCTCCCACACTGCTGTAACCTGGGGGAATTCCAGTGGGCCGAGGAGAGCTCTTTACTCTCGTTTGTGCTATTTCCTGTTCCTAAGCATTTTCGCGATTGTTTGCTTCCCACACGGCACATTGATGAATTAGTTGACGACTCTGCCCCATTCTTCCCGGATCCCAGGAGACCGGGTGCGTTCGGGGATGTCCGACAGGCAGCCTCAGCCGAACCGACCACACGTGCGGGGCCAAGTGGCACCTGTGTGCTGTTATAATGTTGAGAATCTATCATTGTGATGTGACAGTTTCGAAAGGCTGAACGCTGACGGGAGGATCCAGCCAGCAGGAAGATTAGGAAACAGACTGAGCTAGTCACGGAAACTCAGATCTTGTTCTGGTTGAGGAATAAGGCTTCAGTAGGCATAACAAAAAAAATCTAGTAAGACAAGACAAATGATCTGACTCAGGGTACACAGTATAGCTAGGAAAAAGTGGATAGTTCATACAGAACACGTTTTTGCATTCCACCACACTGCTCTTCCATCGTTCTCTACAATAAACATGCATTAAAGTGAAGTAAAGTAAAGTGTAGCAAAGTATGGTGTCCCATATTCAGAATTTGTGCTCTGCATTTTGCCCAGCCATATTGCAGCAGCGCCCTGGGAGCAGTTGGGGGTTCAGTGCCTTGCTCAAGGGTCCCACCTCAGTCGTGGTATTGAGGGTGGAAGTGAGCGCTGGTCATTCACTCCCCCCACCTACAATCCCTGCTGGTACCGGGACTCGAACCCATGTCCTTTGGGTTACAAGTTTGACTCTCTAACCATTAGGCCACGACTGCCCATGGACATGTCACGGGACCACTGCATTTGAGTTTTGCGCATGAGATGGCGTTCTAAAAACACGACTCTCAAGTAAAAAGAACTAGACATTTTTCATTTCACGACCCTGCATTTTGCTTTCTGTATAACTGTATAACATAGATTTCATTAGCATGTTGCTAACAATGACAATTTGAATTAGATTTTAGTAGGGCTGTGCAATTAATTGCATGCGATTGTCATGCGCATCTCGTCAGTAAAGCCGGTCCCGTGATTAGTAGTAAATCTCCATCACCTGCTTTCAGATGGAGCGGCATTTAATACACAGAGCCGTAGTTCACTGACAAGCTAGGCGATATCGCATTCATAATTGAATGCGATTCATCTGCGATTATGAACGCGATATTGCCTAATTGTCAGTGAACTGTCAGTAAAAAAATGACTAGGTTTAAGAGCTAATCTTCATAATCTTAAAAACTGTGTTGTGAAAATCAAGTTATATGTCTATCAGTTTACTATGAGTGTAAACAGTTTGCAGTGGTCCCGTACCGGCGTATGACATGCAATTCACAGATCAAAAGAATCAACAGATGGTTATTAGTGTAGATCCAAGTATGCACTGTATCATCCTTCCCTTTGTGGTTCTGTGTGGTCCATATCACAGCAATTTGTTTCAGACGGAGTCTATTTTGGCATCCAATTCCAAAAGTCCAGAATGAATCCATCTGTTACTAAACAAATCTTTTATCTGTCAACCCTGTTAGTATGTTGAGCACCACGAGATGTCGAGTATTTTGCAAATACTGTTATTTCAAGAGGGTAGTGTAATTGGATTTACATTACTGCAATCTGCCCTCGGTGCATCATGCTGATTTGCACCCGATGGTGAGTACAATGAGGAACAGCTTACCATATGCACCAAAAGGATTTATTATGCAAATTATATACTGAAATCAACAAGGAGCGCTGGAACTGTATCGGTTGGCACTGCAGCCAAACCAATCACAATGACTAACTCCCATTACATCCATATTTTAATACAGAGCCTGGCTTATATTTATTTACACTTGAATTCATAAAGAGGTTTGCTATGGAATAATGTAAAGCAATGAGATTATTTATGCTAGTCCACAAATGCACAGCTATGCATACTTTTATGGCAGTTTAACGAAATTTGGTTCTACTATATTGTGACACCTGACAACTACACACTTGATCACAATTCACTCTTAACGCTAATTCAGTAATTTTTCACTCACCCTCAGGTCTTTTCAAACCTGTATGACTGACTTTCTTCCATCAAACACAAAATCATGGAGCTTCTATGGTCATTTGTGGAGCTTCAGTCCTCATTCACTTCCATTGTATGTAAAAGAGCAGGACATTCTGCTTAACGTCTGATTTTGTGTTCTACAGATTTTGTTGTTGTTGTTGTTGTTTAATATATATTTATATACATTAAAGGTTCAGAATAACATGGTAAAATATGACAGAAATGTCAGCGTTGGGCAAACTATTACTTTAATCACAGAGACCAACTGTAGCAGCATTGTACATAAGTTTAAAGCTATTAAATATTTATTTTTCACTAAATATGGGTTAAAACTACCTTTTACAGCAGAACACACTCTAAAATGTGCCATAGCAACACGTCTGGCATGAAATAATTTACAAATTCAATCTCCCAGCATGCCACAAAACACAATCTCTGCCTACTGACACCATTGGGGACTGTTTCGCATCTAAGTTTGGAGACAGAAAAATGGCAACACACCAAAAGAAATGTAAATCAGTGTGAATATGAGACTATTTCGTCTGAATGCTGCAGAAATGCAACAGCAGGTCTTAGTGTTCAACCATTTTTAAAGTTATTATAACAGTAAATGACAGATAAATGACTCCAAATGATCTTCAGTGTAGTCTAATGAAACTTTTAACAGCATTTTAATATCTTAAACAGACGTCAATGCAGCCCTAGCCCTCTAAACATGCATTTCAAGTGCTTTACAAAACATAATATGCATAAACACCATGATTTTTACAACCAGTGACTTCCTAAAACAGAAAAACAGCATCTCTGAGGGCACCGGCATGCGACACAACCTGTGCAGCTGCTCCGTTTGAAACGCTTTCAGGTTTTCGTACGAGCACAATCTCTATTTTGCGGTCCCGTGAGACCGAGAACAAAGTCAATGGGTTTTATGACCCTGACAGCACACAAGGTGAACTCAACCGTCCCCATCATGTTCCGCGCCTCTCGGATGGCTCGCAAATACTGCACCTGACACCTCATTAACTTCGTCCGGGGCTTTAAACACAACAGAAACATCCGACATATGCTTAACCAAAGAGCAGCCTCTCATCTGTCTGTGACACATCTCCATTTAAACAGGAAAAAAGCAGGACGGGGGCTTTGCAAAACCTATCAAGCCCGTGTCAGGGTACGAACTTCAGGGCAGAGACGAATAACGCAACCAGCCTGGCTGCACAGTTTCAAGCCATTTAATCCCGCCGCTGACAATTAGACTGTCATGCCATCGACTTGAAGCTCTTTGTAGCTCAAGAGCTTGCACCTGCTGAACATTACTCTTATAAAAAAAGAAACAAAATAGGGGAAAACATCACCATGCATCATGGTAGCGATACATCCTCTAACAGAGGGCGCCATCTGGCTGAGTGTGTACGCACCATCGCGCTTAAGTGCTTTACATCTGTTAATAGAGCGGCCGCGCCATTGTTTTCAGCAAGCACTCTTAACCCCTCTGTTGCACTCCCAAACGCTGAGTGCACTGCAGAATGTCACCACGTTACCTCTGGATGATGACGTCCAGGTTTCTAGGTTACTCCGGATGCTGAAGCCACACATAATGGTACACGTTGTTGCACTAATGTGGCATTAAATCTTCTTAACTGTAAATTTTATTTTTTGGACAAAGTGCCATGGTAATGCTTTTTTTCTGACATGTAATTCTCTGAACTACCTTGGGAGACGAGGTAAATACCATGTTTATGAAT